GAACACATACTTTGTCCTAAGTTGTTTACAAACAGTGGATTGATCAGTGATCACTCCAGTGTTTGTGCTGCACACAGAAGGATCGGTAAATATTACACATATTGAGGTTTGGGTAAACAAATTTGTATTAGGGTTGAAGAGTAAATGTGTGCAAGAGCATGAACCATTTTATCATAATATAAAATATCATTGTAGTTATTTTTTTTAGTGCTACTATAACGTTTGCCCCCAGCACTTCTCCCCAGTAGCGTACTGACCATGCTGAAAGCTCTCTTGCTGCCTGTTCTTGATGCATACTTCATGTTATGAACAATAACACATATTGTCACAGTTGACACTGCCAGCAAAAATAAAGTTTTGCTATGGGGCCCTGTGATTTATAGTTACACTCCTGTTTGTAAGGTTTTTATTTATGTATTTGTCCCTTACGGAGAGTTTACTCACATTTCCTGTCTTGGTGCACTTTCTGCTTGGATGTGGGGTGACCCGGTGTGCTTCCTAAACTTCATTTGATCAAATCCCTCTCTCTTTCTCTGCTTGTCAGTGACATTTGATTTCACATGGCAGTTTAGAATGTAATCGGTGCCCCTGAGAATCTTCTTAGTAATGACACATTGATAAATCAGGCTTTGTGCATGCAAGTGACAGATAATAGCCTGTGTGTGGGTGTGTGTGTTTGGGCATACTTGTTTAAACAGGTAAAGAAAAATTGTTCTCAGGTTACCAAATTTAACCTAAAAAGTAGTAGAGTGAATTGGTGCAGCACAGCAAACCCTGCATGGGCAGGTAGTCTGTGCTTCTTGCCTCCAGCTTAAGGTTTAATTTTCAATTTTCACAATATTATACCTATAACCACTTCATGCTATATCATTTCACCCAATAAAAACTTTAAACTGTACACCACCCGGTTACAAAGAACAAATATGGCTTTTGTGTGTAAAGTGTCCTTCATGTACATTACCTATTAATGTTCTGAATGGCCATCTGAAATATTAAATCACACGCTTTCTATATAATGGCAAGCTACAATTACGTAAATGGCCACAGCTGCATGTAATTAGACAAATTACATGAATTTTAATGAATGGCAACCAAGGTGGCCTAAATCTCCTAGGATTATAACTGTTTCAGACACCTACCACTTGTCATAAAATATGGAGTATATAGTCAGCAAATCTTTAAATTTCATTATCTCTTTAAAGAGGAACTCCAGAAAAAAAAACACCTGTGCTTGTTGCTGGGCTGTTAGACTGGTCACCCTAGCCTCTTCTGCACTGGGCTCCAGTGGTCTTAGGACCGCTGAGGTCATCACATCTAATGCAGGTCCATTGACTTTGCATCCTAAGGGTTGCCTGTTTCACTTGCAGTGAGAGCTCCTCTGAACGCAGGTTGTGGGTTCATAGCAACAGCTTCCAAATGTGAATGGCACACCTCAACTCCAGACCTTTTAGTGGCTTAAAGGAGAATTATGAGGCGAGTGATTTTCACTCAGCCTCATAATCTGAGCCGACCTGTGACAATGAGACTGTCACAGGTCGCCTCAGTAGATTGGGAAGTGTGCGAACACATACCGTCGCTCGCTCACTTCTCGATCTATCCCTGCAGAGAGCCGTGACTGTCACTCGCGGCTCCCTGAGGGATTCCCCCTCCCCCCTCCGATCCTCCAGCGCTGACTGGCGTAACGGACGGGGGAGGGGGCAGACACAGCTGGCTCTGCCTCTGGATAGGCAGAGCCAGCTTTCAATCCCGCAGCTGGGTGGATCTCGACAGCAATGTCGGGATCTATTCCGGCTGTGACGTCTCAGTATACCGCGAGCTGTGGCTCGCGGTATACTGAGCTTTGGGTCACGGGAGAACGCTAGTTTGTGTTCTCCCATGACCCTTAGGAGAACTATGGGGAAAAGCCCTGACCCCATAGTTCTCCTTTAACTGATGATGAAATAACGAAGGAATAGCCCCACCTGCCCATGAAATTTTAAATCAATTGTCCAATTAATTTTAGCTACATATTAAAGAGCTGTAATTCCGAAACCGTTCCTCCATTATGGATATGGACACCATCAACTTAAAACTGAGAGACTGCACTTTGAGCCCAGATTCTTTATTTAACTGTAACTTGAATTCATTTTTGTAAACAGCCAAAATAACAAAACTTGTCTCAGTGTCCAATTATTTCCAGACCTAACTGTGTAACCATATTCTTAGTATAGGGTTTCTCATAGATCTCTTAATAATCACACTTTTTTCACTCTTTTCACCTGACTGTCTTTACCCTTGCCCCGTGGTTTTGCTACCAGTCTTTTTCAAGTGTGATAAAGCTCTCACTTTACATTTAAGCTGCCCATAGACATCAGTTGGTGGTCAGAAGATCTGACTGAGGCACAGTAGGGGCTTGTGTCTATTAGCAAATGCAGTGTGCGTTTCACATCAGTTTGATATGCTTCTGAGATCATTCAGAATTCATTGACAGGTGCATTTAGCCTGCATTTGACCTGCTTCACCTGTTTTTCCAATCTGATAGACCTGTAAATGGGAAAAAGTATGTTTGATGAGAACAAGGACTGTTATTTTGGTGGAGTGTACATGCTTAAGCACTGAGAAGACACCCCAAAATCAGCCTCATCACTGAGGAACAGGAGCTATTTTAAACTATTGTTTTTTCCCCTGAGATTGATTGGCCAGTACATGTGTTCAGTGTATGACATGGTCATCCAGTGCCCAGGGTAAAGATACCCCCATTTTATTACCCAAGAGTCAGTGTCTTTTCAAGACAAGAAAATATTTAAAACATTTTAAAATAAAAAAGGTATAATTAATGTAGTAGAAATGAGCCTTTGCCCCCTCCATCTTATTTCTTTGTCTGGAAGGTTTGGGCCTTCTCGTTGTGTGTTCGCTGTCATTACATTACAAGAACAGGCCATTGTTACAATGTACTAACATCATTGGGTCCAGTGTTTGGTGAAGAGCTTCTTGAACATAGTAGGAACTACTGGAGATATGTACTTTGCAAGCGCATACACACATAGCTAATGCTATCTAATTTTCCTACTGTTGTTAACCAGTCTTGACCAAATGCTGCTTGATGTGACAATGAGATATACTCATCAGAAACGAAATGTTGTTTATTAGACAAATTATATACATTCTAGAGCTTTAATAAAGAGCTTTAATAAAACGACTTTATTGGTCCATTTATCTATTGGCTGATGAGTCATCTATTTCTCGTGGGCTTGTTCTTTGGTTAATGGCTTGTACAGGGGACATAGGTATTTGACATTTCCTTTTACAGGGTGTTTCTCATATAGCCTTAACTGTACAACCACCAGTGGGATCTGAATTAGGTTATTTTGGCTTTCCAAAAATCACCATTTGAACCTATAAGAGATATTCCCCTTTTCTCTATTTCCATCATGTTATAGGGGGATAAACTATTATACTTAAAGGAGAACTATGAGGTTAATGCTTTTCACTCATCCTCATAGTTCTAGCCGACCTGTAACAATGAAACTATCACAGGTCGGCTCAGTAGATCGGGAAGTGAGCGAACACATACCGGCGTTTGCTCACTTCTCGATCTTGTCACGGCAGAGAGCCGTGACAGGGGAGGGACTGGATTACCCCCTCCCATCCTCCAGCGCTGACTGGCGGAACGGACGGGGGAGGGGGCGGGTACAGCTGGCTCTGCCTCTAGATAGGCAGAGCCAGCTGTCAGTATAAGCTTAGCGTGACGGGAGGAAGCTAGTTTGTGTCCTCCTGTTACCCTTAGGAGAATTATGGGGAAAAGCCCTAACCCCATAGTTCTCCTTTAAAGGGTGCTTACAATGATCATCTTTTATTTATATGGTTTAAACCTCTTTTCCAAAATAAAAAAACTGCTGCTGCAGCTGCCTACAAAAGTGCTAGGTGGAGCTGGGCTTTCATTTAATTAAATAGTGGCTTACGTAAAGTCCATGGAAAACTATGGGGTTGATTTACTAAAGGCAAATAGGCAATTCCCTTTGCAAGGGGATTTGCACATTGCAGGGTAAGTTTCCCTTACTAAAGGCAAACAGTGTATTTGCCTTTAGTAAGTCAACCCCTGTGTGTCTATAAGGACTGGTGCAGATTTAGGTGATCATCCCGGGCCCGTGCGAGCCTGTGTGGTTGCACACAGCGGTTGCCGCACGGCCCCATTGGTTTGAATGTGGTTGCATCCGTGCAGCAATTGCTGAAAAAAGGTACATGTACCTTTTTTTGCGACACATGTTTTTTTCAACCGCAATCGTGTGCGATTGCACAGTGGGAAACAAAGTGATCTGCCTGGCGGGACTGGAGTGCCATTAGAAAATAATGGCACCGCCAGCACAATCAATGGTGGTGTTGGACTCTGTGACGGCGCAGCCATCCGTGTGGTTTCATGCACGATTGCTATGCGGTCACAGATCGCCGAGGAGTGAACCTGGCCTAAGACTACCCTGTTTGCAAAAACTAGCTTGTTTGCAAGATAGCAGTTCACAATGTGAGGGCATCCCACAACATACCTGATAAAGTGGCCACTATTGCATGATTTTACTGCAGAATAAACAGTGTTGTCACAATGTTAAAGGAAGAGAAAAAAAATAACGGCTCTAGTGGCAGCATCAACAGTTCATATAACTGTGTTACTAGTGGGAGTTAGAGAAACAAAAACAGCTATGATAATACAATTGACAGAGAGTACATATGTTATTTTTTATTTTGTTCATAGTTCTACTGTATAGACATCCTGTTAGTTAAATCCTTTGCTGAAGTTTCCTGCAGTAGAAGAGCTATGGTACTAACCTCTCTGGTTGCCCATGTCTACAAACAACTTGTGGTGGGGGACATAGGTATTTGACATTTCCAAAAGTGCCGAATGCCAAAGAGAGTGCAAAGCTGGAACACAGGAATGGTAGGAGACACGGGTTACCGAAAAGGTAAGTGCAATAGCTCTCTTGTTGCAGGAACTTCAGATAGGATTATTTCAGGGGCATAATTACAGATCATGGGGATGAGATAGGGGCCTCCCTGACGACCTCTCTCTGAGCTGTGAGTAAGGACACAAAGATCCCAAACATTCCTCTTGTGCATCTAACATTAGCAGACATCTCAACTCTCTGGACAATCCGGGAGTCTCCCGCTATAAGACTCCTGAACATCTGCAAGAGAAACATTTTATCTGGGAAAGGTTTACTCTGCTCTATCTAGCAGAGTAAACCTTTCCCGTCTGTCTGTTTTTTTGTTTTTTTTTCATTCTGACATCGGTGCCGCCGGCTGCCGTCAAAGTAAATAAAAAAAGACAGCATTGAAATGAATAGTTAAATTGCTATTGGCTATTTCAATTTGCAATAGCCAATATCAGGCTGGCTATTGCAACCACCCTCTGCTGTTGTCAATCAGCAGAGGTGGACCTGAAGTTCTCCATCAGACCCTCCTCTGCTGATTGACAGCAGCATTGGTCGGGAGCAATAGCCCGCCTGCAGTTGGCTATTGCACATTGATCTGTCAGAATACAAAAAACAGTCTGCCATCTTTTCACAGAGGTGCCCTCTCATCCCCCCGCGGATGGTCGAGGGAAGAGGGCACCTCCCTGAAATGAGAAGGGCACCTCCCTGAAATGAGAAGGGCACCTCCCTGAAATGAGAAGGGCACCTCCCTGAAATGAATTCTTTCAGGCTGGGATGCCTGCATTAGCTTTCCTACACTTTAGACTTTACAGAAGATTAGGGCTTTAAACAAATGCAACCACACCAAGCCTTAATGATGTAGTACTGTTTTATCTTCAAATGCTCTATGCTTAATTTGCCTTAACAACCCCCAGGCCCCATAGCAGCCGCCTAGGCTACTATAGCTATAGTTAAGCTGGATTGTTTTTAAGAATTTGACAGGGTCTCTTTACCATTGTTTCCCTGCTAAATGTCAAACAAATTATTATACAGCAGCTCCACTACCTACATTGATATTCTTACAATACATTACTTTCTGTCCATGATAAAAATCCTCATTTCACTTTTCAATTATCACAAGTTAGGCACTGACTGGCTATAGATACACTTTAAAGTGAACAAAAGTTTCTGATAGGTATAATACAGGAACCTGCACAAACCTGCATCCTGCTCCCGATTTACTTCTATTTTGCCCTAATGCTAGATTGTTCTAATTGGACAATGATCTGACACTTCCTGGTAGTATGGGAGCTTGCTGCTCCCTACTCCTCACCAGTTTGTGCTTTTTCTATCTCAAGATTTCCCCATTGCTGGACATTTCATTCCTACCCTGGCTTCCTGACCCCTGGGATTGTCTAACTTTGTATTAGATGGAAAAGCAACTTTTTAATTGTAGTGGTGGTAGTGTAGTTGTAGAAGTGTGCTAGCTTATATGACTTATACATAAAATATGGAGATTGTTGTACTCTCCAATAAAAGGAAATTCATTGTGAATCAATTTGCCAAAATGCCCAATCCCAGTTAGGATAACCACCTTGCTGTCTCTCACCAAATCTTGTTCAATCCCACCCTTTTATAGAGGAATGACGCTGATATACAGCTTTACATCAGAAAGAAATGTGTTTTATTCACTGCATCATTGTGAATACACAAGTATTATTTAAAATTTGTACAGGAAAACGGGTTTACATGCTAAACAGTAATTTACAAATAAAGGTTACATAGTTAGCTATTGTCCTGATGTGATTTATTGGTATTTTCACACAGAATAATATAGAAAGTTAATGAGGTTCAGCCCAGCACACCAAATGCCAAGCATTTGCTTCTTGATAATCTTCATGTCCTTGGTTGGGTGGAGGAGTGTATGACTGCAGAACATGGTTTTTGCTGACAATGCGATAAAATGTAAGCACAGTTCCTCATGTATAGTATAATTTTCATAATCCAATGGAGAGACCATTATGTCTGCCCTGTTAGCTTATTACTTGTATGCTCCCATTTGGAGGCATTTTCCTCCCACCAGCCAATGTGCCCAGCAACTTCACTAATGCACTTTTAAGTTTTGGGCTTCCAAAAATCAAAATCATTGATTGCACTGGTGAATAGGCGTAGATAACCACCAAACAGACAGAAAACCAAATACTGTTGACATCAAAAATAGCCATGATCAACAATATCTGAGAAATGTAAAAACTGATATAAAGAATAAGAAGGGAAGTCACAGTGCGTGCTGCAGATACGCTGGCTTCAACACTCTGCACATTCATTCCTCCGGCATTCTTACCAAGGTGTTTTGCATGGACACAGAGGGACTTGATTATCAAGATATTGGCAACAGCCACCAGGATAAGGGGAATACAGCAACCAATAATACTGGTTACCAGCAGGTACTGAAGACTCATCTGTGGTGTGCCATATTCCACTGTTGAGTTGTCAGTGAGATTACCATTTAATTGAATCAAATATTCATCTTTGTTAATATTCCAAGCAACTGGAACACTGATAATGAGTGAAAGCAGCACAGAAGAGAACAGCATCCAGGGGACCACATCAGAGATATTTTGTTTGAGACGCAAAAAGAATGTTTGCTCAAATGTAACGAGCATCACATAGTAGAATCCACAGAGGCAGAAGGTAAACCAAAAGCTGGAGAAGATTGTGAAGAGCAGAAGAATAGAGAAGATGGTAAAAACATTGTCAGAAAAGTACACATCACTCCACAAGTAGAGAACAGAGTCATGGGCGGCCATGCTGAACAGATAGGCAATATTGAAAAGGCCCAGGGTAAAAAGTATCAGTTCTCTCGGGTTAATGCTCCTACCTTTAGCCCTGTCCATTCCATGGGCCACAATAATAAATGCATTGGTGAAAAATCCAATTATGGTGCTAATCCCCAGAGCGCTAAGTGAGAGAATTACAAATGAGGGCAGCATTGTGCTTTCAGCTCTTTCTGTCTTTTTACTTCTCCATTTTGGCAGCTGTACTTCTCTGGCAGGAGGAAACACCTGTTAGACAATGGTTGGAGCCATTAAGATAGTAGACCAAGTAGCTAAGGGTTTGAGACTTTGAGTATACATTGTATAGATTCTGATTACAACACACAAAACAAAGGTGGCTGTTTATGTCTATAAATTAAATGCATTTCCATAACTATTGTTTCTACACACAATAGTGTGACACTAGTAATAGCTGTCAGATAGCTAAACTCCATGCAGATACATATCTATATAATACAATTAAACCGGTTATTTAACATACAATTGGTAAAAGTACAAAAATTGGTTATTATCAGCCTCTAATAATCCCTGTACCTGGTGCCAGCCATTATTTATTGCATTACACTGATTACAGAGCAGAATGATGACCTCATGAGCATGCTTATGCTACCTTATTGTCCAATCATATACTAGAGTGGGTATGAAATCATATTCTTTTGCTTATCTGCAATACAGTCTTATTAAAAAAAAACAAAAAACAACAACATTTTATTTGTGTTTAAAAATACTGCATCTGTATACATTTTTTAAAATCTCCCATTCATCTGCCCCTATATCCTAATTCAGTGGGTACACAATCTTTGAAGGGTGAAGATGACTTAAGGTGTGATAATAGAGTATATTATTGCTGACATGGTTTTAGGAAAATGCAATCACTTTTTAAGGTTTTAAAACTTATAAGATGGCATCCGTGATAATTTTACGATATACGCTGGAGAGAAGCTGATGAAGCAGATCTCTGCTTCATCAGCTTCTTTGGGGGGTCCTAGGTGACATTAGGGGTCTTGGAAACCCCTGCTGTCTCCATAAAGAGGACCTGTCACATCCTCTTTGCTATCACATAGGGGATTTCTTTAAAAACATTTCTGAAAATTTTTTTTGTAAAAAACCCCCTAAAGTTGCCAAAAAAAATATTCAAGTTACGCAACTTTTTTCAAAGTCCCCACCCATACATACACGCATGCAAACATGCGTCGGGTGCGCATATGTGCGAAAACGGTGATTGCGCCCATTACGCTGCACATTTTACATATCGCCGCAAACATCGGAATGAGAGCAATAATTCTAGGGCCATTAATCACTAAAACTGATGAGTGGTAAAAGTTTTAAAGCGTCGCCTATGGTCAATTTTGAGTGTGGTAGTTTTTTGCGAGGCTGGTCTTCAAGTGGTTAAACATGTTATTTGGCACTTTGGATTGCTGCGCATGTCACTGTTTTAAATGTAACGGACCTTCCTAGGTACTTACGTGCTTGTATGTGTAAATAAAAATTACAATCGCAAGTATACTATGTGAGCTTGTAATCCGATACTCTGCAGGCAAGAGATGACATTGTACATATCTTAGTCCAGCTTCCTCCGATTCCAGACCTGATTCTCCGAGTCTAGTTTTCAGAACACCGTGTGGTAAGAGACTCTGTATAGCAAATGACGAGTGTGAGCTCAGGAATGCTTGGACGTTGATGGCCAATAGCAGACCATTTCTTCCAAGTGTGAGATACAAAGAGACTTTATAGAAACTCCATGACCTGTAATTACATAGAGAAATGTGTGATAGTTTCCATTGTTTGCTAGTAATTATCATGGTAATATACACTGAGTGGCCAGATTATTATGACCACCTGACGTTTGTAGGCAAATTAGCTATAATTTTGCGCTGAAGTTGCTAGTGGGCCAGACCATTATAAATAGGGAAGCAGGTTGTTTACCACGACAGTAGAAGTGATTTGTTTCTGAAGATACGGGTAAACAACGCGATTTAACAGCCTTTGAACGTGGGATGATTGTTGGCGCTCAAGCCATGGAGCGAGTATCAGCAAAACAGCAGAATTCGTTAAATATTCAAGAGCAGCTGTTGTTAAAGTGTTTAAAGACTGGACTGTCAGCCGAAAATCTGGGTCTGAACGTGCGAATTGTGGCCGTCAGCGACTAGTCAATGTTAGGGCAGAACGGAGAGTGGCAAGACTGGTACAAGACAACAGAAGGGCAACAGTGCAGTGTCAGATTCCTCGCATCACCTTTCAACATCTCGTGGAGTCACGAGGCGGCCCAACCAAGTCATCTCGTGGAGTCATCTCGTGGGGTGGGGTGGTCATAATAATCTGGCCACTCAGTGTATATGTTACATATATTTGTAACATTTATAATTATGTCTATTGCACTGATTAATTATTTATGTGAAAAAAGTCCTTTATTGGAAAACAAAATAAAAAAAAAGATGTTAAAGAAGAACTCCAGGCAAATTAAATCTTAACCCTTGCAGTGGGGCTACCCCGGCACTACAAGGGTTGAGTGCTGATTTTGTATAGTGAGCTAAAATAACAGAGATATACTCACCCGCCCCGCATTCCCAGCTGGCTACTAGACCGGTCCCTTCAGCCTGTCTCCCCGCCGCTCCAAGGATGGAATGACCCTACACTGTATAGGATGTGATGACTCACGGGACCTAAGACCGTTGGAGTGAAGGAGGAGAGAGGTTGAAGGTTGCTTACATTCCTGCAGCGCTGGGGATCTGTCATGTCATTTAGCAGTGGTATTGCTACAGGCTGGGTTTAACCCAAACCCAAAGTTCATCCCTAATGTTAATTACAAAAGAGAGTGACATTTTATTTTTCTGTATTTTGTATAGTGCTGACATACTACTTAGCAATTTACTGACTACATCAGTATGGAAGCTTTCACATCACTACTTACCCCTGAGGGAATTTACAGACTGATGTCCCTCCACAGTCATACAAGGCATTCACACACATGTATTGTAGGTTCAGTTCAGTCACAAGCAACCAGTAAGATTTATTTGAAAATGAGACCAGTGCTACAAAGCAACAATGTCGATTACTTAGCTATCACGTTGCTGTTACTATTATCATCTTTCTTTTCCATTACACATATATTATACCTTTTGCTCTTCCTGAAGAAGGACTATTGCTTATTTCAGTAATGGTTGTTGGCCATAAAGTCCACTTTACATGAATGCTTAGTACAACACAATGACTAACATAATAGGGGGAATTTAAACTGGAGCAGTCAGAATCTGGAGCAGCTGTGCATGGCAACCAATCAGCTTCTCTCTTCAGTTTTTTCAGTTAAGCTTTGAAAATGAAATAGGGAAGCCGATTGGTAGCCATGCAAATTTGCTTGAGATTTTGTCTGCTCCAGTTTTGATAAATTCACACCAATGTATGTTGATAGAAGCTCTTCCTAAAATAGTTTTTTGATGCACAATGTATTACATTCTAAATTATAAACATTTCTTCTGCGGAGACAGTAAAAATTAATTAAAAAAACAAACAAACAACTTACTTTATGTAAACAACATCCGATGTATTGCATTTGGTCGCATAGACACGCTGATATCCAGGTCTTACAAAGAGTGACAATATTTCCTTGGTTATATGAATACCTTTATTTCTGGATGAAATATACTTTGATGGGTATTTTGCAGCTGCGAAAGAAACTATTACATACACTGAAAGCAGTGTATAGCAAACCCACAGTCCACAGAACTTGTTACCTGGGCCATGGCAGGAAGGTAATGGCATGACGTTCTACACATCCAGTCAAGGAATACAGCTAGCTGGTGAGAGCAATGAACAGGTCACTACAAGACAAGCAATAGGATATTGCAGTGTTAGACACTATTCTTACTACATTGGTAGTATCAGTGTGTGTCTTCACGAGGTAGCATACATCTGCATGAACACAAATGCTAAACAATTTGCATGTACTGATATTATTTTGCTCCACAGTTTCATTCACCCTATAACTTCAATTCATTCTTCAGACATTCATATACAGTGTTAACTACTAGAATATGAAAAAGTTTAGCTGCATGCCAACCAAGTATTGGGATAATGAGTAGCAAAGACAGAACAACATTACTATTATTATTATAATATAGGATTTATATAACACCAACAGTTTGCACAGCGCTGTTCAAAATAGGGGAGACAGTACAGTTACAATACAATTTCAGTACAATAGGGTTAGGAGGGCCCTGCTCCTGAAAAAGATTATATTATTAAACTCCTTGAGAGCAGGGACTGATGTAAATGAATAGCATGTAAAGCTATTTGTAAAATTGACAGCACTATTTAAATATACAATAGTAATTTAGAAACGGGGAAAGAGGGACTGCAGTTAATCAAAATATGTAAGGTTTGTCCACCTATTTGGGTCTCTTTTTAATTATCACAAACAAAAATTACACCACCAAGCCGAGACCCCAAAAGGGTAGTGAACATCAAAACCAACTATCTCTTCCAAAAAAACCATATATATATTTATTGTCAACCTTAGTTTATAAATATATCAGAAATTTGATGTATTAATACACATTTAAAACATCCTAAAAACAAGTAAACCTTATAAACTTAGGTTGACAATACATTTTTACAGGGTTATTCACAAAAGGGTGAAGAGTTTGGAGAAGGCAGGAGAAGTGAACACTCTAGGACAAAATATCTGATTTGGAAAAATTCTCCAATTCAGCTCACTTTCCAGTTCAGCTATGTTGTCCTAGATTGTTCACTTCTCCTGCCTTCTCCAAACTCTTCACCCTTTTGTGAATAACCCCTTTAGAATGATTGCAAGCTCTCAGGGGCAGGACCCTCCTTACCATCTTGTCTTAAATTGTATTGTGATTGTAATGTCTTCTTTATATTGTAAAGCGCTGCACAAACTGTTAGCGCTATATAAATCCTGTATAATAATAATAATAATTGATATATTTTTGGAAGAGATAGTTGGGTTTGATGTTTACTACCTTTTTGGGATCTCGGCTTGGGGATGTAATTTCTATTTGCACTATTGAAATATCTGTAATAAATATTTGTGGTGGATACTTGAAACAGATTTCAAGTACAGCTAAATATGCTTAGTCAGCTAACATACTTGGGATAAACAGAGATCTATCCTCAGACAAAAATGATAAAAGGCAGACTCAGAGGACCTCCTGTTTATTTTCTACCTTCAGTCTTCTATGCATCCTCTCTGTTTCTATGAAATGATAGAGAAGGCAGGAGAAGTGAACACTCTAGGACAAAATATCTGATTTGGAAAAATTCTCCAATTCAGCTCACTTTCCAGTTCAGCTATGTTGTCCTAGATTGTTCACTTCTCCTGCCTTCTCCAAACTCTTCACCCTTTTGTGAATAACCCCTTTAGAATGATTGCAAGCTCTCAGGGGCAGGACCCTCCTTACCATCTTGTCTTAAATTGTATTGTGATTGTAATGTCTTCTTTATATTGTAAAGCGCTGCACAAACTGTTAGCGCTATATAAATCCTGTATAATAATAATAATAATTGATATATTTTTGGAAGAGATAGTTGGGTTTGATGTTTACTACCTTTTTGGGATCTCGGCTTGGGGATGTAATTTCTATTTGCACTATTGAAATATCTGTAATAAATATTTGTGGTGGATACTTGAAACAGATTTCAAGTACAGCTAAATATGCTTAGTCAGCTAACATACTTGGGATAAACAGAGATCTATCCTCAGACAAAAATGATAAAAGGCAGACTCAGAGGACCTCCTGTTTATTTTCTACCTTCAGTCTTCTATGCATCCTCTCTGTTTCTATGAAATGATTTCTAGCTTGAAGAAGATTTGCTTTGCTGGAAACCTTGTCAAATATGCAGCAAACAGGCCTATTAAATACACATCCCAGCCATGTAACAAAACACAGAGATGTGAATGTAGCCTTACACTAAACTAACCTCTCCTGCAGTATACTAATTTTGACTTGATGCAATTATATTAATTCATAAACAACTGCGCTCAGATGGTAATGGCCATTTTTTGGGCATATGACAATAATCTTCCAAAAGCATGAAACTTCCAATATGATCCTAGTATGTGCAGTATATCACCTATGATTGTCTCTCTTTCAGGGTTGGGGATAAGTGTTATACATGCACACATAATACCGCACCTCACCCTAAGTTTGTAAGTTGTCTGCAGAATAGACTCCAAAGAATGATCATCTGCAGGCTGACATAGATGACCTTCAGTTTAGCATGGTGCAGAGGTGTCTAAAATGTTGCTCACTTACCCATTTTAACTAGCTTGGTCATGTCACCCCTATAATTAAAATGGAAGCTACAGGTGTTTATGATAAGCCATGTAATTGTTACTTTAGGATCCCCAGCGTGCAGAAAAATGTAAGGTATTGGAAAAAACAATTATTTATGTCAGCAGAATATTCCACAGGGAACCTAGAGGGGTCACTGAATTAATTACCTGCAGGCACTGTGGATCAATTTAACATTGATATGTTATATTCAGCAAAATCTGCATGTATTAATTAGAAATAGAATTCCCTGTTCAGGTGAACCATTTACATGAATGATTATTAAAACAAGGAGACTTCTTGTGCTTGCTATTATAAGAAGAGCTGCACTCAAACATTTGTTATCCAAATAGGTTG